AAAGGAGCACTACAGACACCCAGATCACATCAGCTCAATGAAGTTGTCTGGGTGTCAGGTCCTCTAGTTTTAACTCTGCAGCTGAAAACATAGCAGTTTCGGAGAAACTGCTATGTTTCACTGAGGGTTAATCCAGCCTCTAGTGGCTGTCTCACTGACAGCCGCTAGAGGAGCACACTGAACGTCCATAGGAAAGCATTGAGTAATGCTTTCCTATGGGCGGTTTGAATGCGTGCGCGGTCGCATTCGGAGCTGAGAGGCCGAGGGATCCCCAGCGCCAAGGGAGTCCGGCGCTGGAGAAAGGTAAGTGCTGAAGACACACACACACACACACTTACAGACGCATACACACTAGCTAACAGACACACACATTTACTGACAGAGACACACTCAGCGACAGACATACATACACACTCACTTACAAAACATACACCCTCATTGACAAACACACACTCACTAACAGACATCAAACAGACTCACTAACACACACATTCAGTAAGACACACACACAGTAACACACTCACTGACACTCACTAGCAGACACACACACTAACACTCACACACACTAACACTCACACACACTAACACTCACACTCACTAGCAGACACACACACTAACACTCACACTAACACTCACACTAACACTCACTAGCAGACACACACACTCACACTCACACTCACACTCACACTCACACTCACACACACTCAAACACTAACACTAGTTTTTTTAAAATGTAATCCCCCCAGCCTCCTTACCTTTTGGAGTGCTGGGGGGATTCCCTGGGGTCCAGTGATGCTGCTGGGCTCCCAAGGGTGGTCGGTAGAAGGGAAGGCCGAGGGAGCACTCAGTGCTCTCTTCAGCTCCCTGGCCACAGGATAGCCGGGCTACCGAAGATGACGCCATCTTCCTGCCCGTATCAGTGCGGGTGCCGAGGGAGCTGAAGAGGAAGCACTGAGTGCCCTCGCCCGCCTGCTCAACCGGCCACCCGCCCGGTGTCAGCAGGGCCAGCCTCGTGGGGGCCCTGGGGTGGTCGGCTCCTGGGCCCCCCAGGGGAAGAGGCTGGCCCTGTGGGTACATACCGGGTCGCAGGGGCGGCCGGGCCCCCTGGTGGGCCGGGCCCGGTCGCAGCCGCGACCCCTGCGACCATGGTATGTACGCCACTGACTGTATTAACTGGTATTGCAACCAGGTTACTACACAAAATACAATTTAATGCTAGCATATCTTTATTGCAATGCCAATTTGTAAAGGGTTCTCTAAAGGAAACTACAGAAACCATAACACCGTTTCTTATGTACTAATACTATACACATTTCCATCCAAGCAAGACTGTCAAAGTACTGTGATTGGTTAGATATCAGCCCAACCAATCACAGTGTTCTAACAGGATATTATTTAAAGGTCTTGAATGCTCAGTGTAATTAAAGACCTCCAGCCAGTCGAGCTTGAGGATTAAGAAGGATTTGATTTAAAGGACCACTAATAGTGCCAGGAAAACATACTCGTTTTCCTGGCACTATAGTGCTCCGAGGGTGCCCCCACCCTCAGGGTCCCCCTCCCGCCGGTCTGAAGGTGGAGGAAGGGGTTCATCCCTTACCTTTCCAGCGCCGGACTCTCCTCCCTCTTCTGATGTCATCGGCGGAATGCGCAAGAGCCGCGCGCACATTCAGCCAGTCTCATAGGAAAGCATTCTTAATGCTTTCCTATGGACGCTGGTGTCTTCTCACTGTGAAAATCACAGTGAGAAGCGCGGAAACGCCTCTAGCAGCTGTCAATGAGACAGCCACTAGAGGCTGGATTAACCCATAGGTAAACATAGTAGTTTCCCTGAAGCTGCTATGTTTATAGCAGAAAGGGTTAATCCTAGATGGACCAGGCACCCAGACCACTTCATTAAGCTGAAGTGGTCTGGGTGCCTATAGTGGTCCTTTAAGAATGTTTGTTAGATGTATTTTGACCATTTTGATGACTGAAAACTCAATTAACAAAAACAATACATGTGTACAAACTCAATAAATAAAATTATTATTGACATCAATAATACAGCAGGTAAATAATATGGTGACTCAATATATGTAGGAAGAAATTAACCCCTTAAGACCAGAGGGCGTACTATTACGCCCTATTCTAAGTGGCTCTAAACGCCGCCGGTCTTTTCCTACTTACCCGGTCGCCGGCGATCCCACTCCCGCGATCGCGGTTTGGGGGACTCACAGGGAGCCCTCCGCGGCATGTCCGACCCCCTGGAAGCCCCCCAGCCATGTGAGAGTGAGGTCCTTGGTCACATGGCCGGGGTTAGCTGCCTCCTGCATTGCCAGCAGGGGGGCTGCCTGTAATGACAGGTGGTCCCCCTGCTGGCTGAAAATAAAATAAAGTTAATCAGTGTAAAAAAATAATAATATATAATTAGATCATATATATATATATATATATATATATATATATATATATATATATATATATATATATATATATATATATATATATATATATATAATCTAAGTATATACATACACACACGTACACTGTATAGGTGTATTTTACTATTAAAATATATATATATATATATGTGTATATATATATATATTATCAAATTACACGTAGACTGATACTGATTAAATATATATCTAATTATTGTTATATATATATATATATATATTTAATATATATAATATAAAAAAAAGTAAATATGTTAAAAAATAAAATTACTAATTTAAAATAATGAAAAAATATATAGATGTGTGTTATTTCGTTCTAACTGTATTGTGAAATTAAAATATATATATATATATATATATATATATATATCTCAAAATACACGTAGAACGAAATATAATATATATATATATAGCAAGATCCAAATAGATTATGGTGGGGAAAAATTGTGATTGAAAACCCCTTCCACCTGAAGTATGTGGATAGTTAATACAATGCTAAACAAAAATCTGCACACCAGTCAAGCCATAAGACTTGCTTTTCCCACAGAAATCCCAAATCAGCAGTGATGTTACAACCGCAAAGGATTCTGGGTGGGCATATGCAAATTAGTTTAACAAAGAATCACATTTTTGCCTCATTCCATTTTAAACATGGATTCCTTTTAATTTGTGTTTGCAGTATACAACTGCTTGGAACACAATTTAGGATAAGATGCAAAACCAGTGAACCACTCATGGACAGCTGTTTCGTTGTTAATGCAACTCTTCAGCATGAGGTTGGTTACTGGTTTGCTTAGTATTGGCGTTTTTTGCATTTTTCACACACAAACAAATACTAACGCTAACTTTGGCCAGTGTTTGTGACCAAATGGATACTAAAAAAGACTGGACATACCCCATTTGCAATACCTTGGGTTGTCTACTATTGCAAATGGTATTCCATTATGGGTGTAAATTTCATTCCTGGGCTACTCTACAGTCTCAAAGGCAACGTAACCAATCTGGCGAATTTCAATTTCAAATGTAACATGCTATATTTGACCCTGTAACTTCCCAAAACGCCATAAAACCTGTACATAGGGGGTACTGTCTTACACGTGAGACTTTGCTGAATACAAATGTGTATTTTATTGCAGCAAAAGCAAACAGTATTATGACATTGACAGTTTAAATGTCATGTAGAACTAAAAATTTTTTAAAAATTCTTATTTTCTCCCATTTCTTTCATATTAAATTATGTTTCATAGCTAAATATTTGATATTAAATGAAAGCCCTGTTTCCCCTGAATAAAATGATATATAATAAGGGTGGGTGCATTTAATATGAAAGAGGTGAATTACGGTTGGACAGACGTAGCACAAATGCCAGGTTTTGTTCACATTTTGTTCACAACGTGTACATTTGGCTCCGTCCTTAAGGGGTTAAAAACAGAAAATATATTTCAACTATAAACATTTATAACATACTCATACACATCTGAGCTAAATATCACTAATCTTCCCAAAATAAAAAGATCAACTAATAATAGCAATCAATAAGAAACCAGAGGAGCTCACAATTGCACCTATGCACATGACCGTAGCAGATGCATTTTGCACTCTTATGCACACGATTATGTGCTTTTATTTGTTATGTGATTACATTATGCACTTTTATTAACACGATCAGGTGTTCACATTGCACTATTG